ATATATATATATATATATAAATATATATATATATATATATATATATAATTAATTTTATATATACATACATAAAATCATTTTAGACACCATTATTCCTAAAGCAAATTCAGATTTGTGTGGTGATGTTTTACTGTTATGCTTCTACATTAAATTTTGTCGTGTTTATTTCTGTTGATTTTCCAATATTTCATACATTCAGAATTGGTTCTAAATATATTGGGGGGAAAAAAGGTTTTCACCATTAAAGGTGTTCATATTTAATCAAATATACATGACTGCTTAAAATAGAAGCATATATTATATGCATCAGTGCCTAAAACAAGGACTGAGTTTGGAGAGTTATTTGTATCTGCTGCCCCTTGAACACACTTAAACTCTAAATTTACAAACCTTATTACCATTGAACATTTCTAGACCAGATGGTTTGGCTGATACCAATATTTTAATATATTGCTAGTTAGTGCATTTCCCGACTTAATTTCCTCCTTATTGCATGTATTTTTCATATTTCTATCATTGTATATGACATTTGTTATTGTTGTAATATTTTTGGCTTCTAGGTTTCTGAAAGAAATATCTTGGTAAAACATACATGAATACTTATAGTAATGTTTAATAACATTTGTTTCATCACAGAGCTCTTCTACAGGGAATGTGTGTTGGTTTCGAAAGCGGACATCACACATGACACGCAGGTCTTGCGATTACAACTTCCACCAGGGTCACATATGCAAGTTCCTGTGGGGAGACACGTCTACCTCAAAACCTCTCTCCAGGGTAATGTGTCACTTTGTCACACAGCACATGCTCTGCTGATCTAAAGATAACCGATGGAAGGTGACGGTTTTATGGAGGGTTCAGCAGGCTGCTTTTTTGTGTTTGGTGAGCAGGTACAGATGTTGTGAAACCTTACACACCAGTGGATCAAAAACTAATACCTCCCTCACAATGTAGTGCTGAAATGGGCTCAGACTTACATCTCATGATAAAGATCTATCCTGATGGATTGTTGACCTCACATCTCGCCAACCTCCCTATTGGTTTGTAACTTCCCATATCTATTTTTTTTTAAAGAAGGAAATAGTATTACATGATTTTTCACCATGCAATTCATGAGCTGGAATTTGAACCCCACCCTTGTCAGTAAACTACTCTATTTGTAAGATCTCAAAAACTATAATTACACTTAAGGATATATGGATTTCTTTTGAATTTTAGTTCACTTTATTTCTCAACTTTTTTTTATTTTTTTATTCAAGCTCAAATGTTAATGGTAGTCCCCATTTGGTATCTCCGTTCAAATTTGAATTGAATTAAAGCTAAAAATCTTTCTCAGCTCATGGCTCACAACCCTGTTTTGCACATACAGAAAGAACAAAAGTGCAAATAAATAATAGTAATTAATAGTAAAAAATAGGGATGCACGATATTGGATTTTGCCGATATCCGATATGCCGATATTTTTTAACTCATTTTGGCTGATAGCCGATGCCGGTACCGATATATTTCCTTTTGTTTGGAAAAAAAAAAACACCAAGTCTCTCCTGTGCAGAAATGATAAGCAATTTTATAATTTTTTTTTAAATTTTGGTTAGTTTTTAATAAAAACGTATTTGTTAGAATTAAATAAACAACAATTAAGTTATTTTATAATGGCAGTACGTTGAAGATTTGAAAATAACTATATTAACTTTATATTATAAATAAACTATTCAATATCTGCATTTTTTTTTCTCTCTCAGAAAGATGCAGTGGTAACCTTAACATTTTATTTTGAGATTTAACATTTGTAAATGGTCTAAAGCAAGAGTTGTAAAAATTCTGGAAATCTTTTAGCGCTCATAATTTGTTTTAAAATATAACATATATTACACATTAATGAGTAATTCAGTAAATATCAAATAATTTAAGTGACATGTTTGTGTGTTTTTTTTTTGTTGTTCATGTAAGTTATAGCTTCTGAACTTTAAATCAAAACATACTTGTGATTTTATGGCATCAATTACTGCTTTATTTAATCAGAAACACGGTCTAAATAGTATATGTGTATTTTTCTTTCATTTTATTAGAAGTAGGCCAACAGCACCCCCTACGGAATTAAAACTCCTTACTGAGCGGGCATTAGGACCCGGGGGAGGCTGCCGCTTCAAGTGCTATTACTGTTTACTCTATCATACACCGAACTCGTCATTCTGTACATGCATATTCTCAGTTTAAATGCAGCAATCCAAAACAGTGAATCTAATCGTCATTCAGGCAAAACTTAGCTTCAAGAATGAGCCACACCGCTGAAGTGATGTAATCGCTAGCACACCCTGAGCACATGTGAGTTAATGCATTCCTCTTATCGGCAAGACATATCGCCATAATTTTTCATATCGAGCCGATGCCAATATTTACATTTAAAGCCATTATTGGCCGATTCTGATATTGGTATGATTATATCGTGCATCCCTAGTAAAAAACAAATAGTAAGTTTCAGTTTGAAAATAACCATGAAAACTGTAATTGCATTGAATCACAAACAAACCTTACTAACTCCTGTCATGTTTCTGGTCTGTTCCAGGATCCTCTCTGTTAGTAGGCGGTCCGGAGGGATCCTTCACTATGCGTATTCTGCGTGATGTCACTCATCTCTACATGTTAGCGGCTGGCACAGGTTTCACACCCATGGCTCGTCTCATACGGCTGGCTCTTCAGGACCTCACATCAATCAGGTCTGCTCTGTACAAATCTGAAAAAACGCAACAATCAACATGCACTATTTAAGTCACCAATCGAAAAGCAAATGTTGCAATCACTTTTACTGGTGTCAAGGTGGTTTTAATCAATGCGTAAAGCAGGGATGCACAATATTATCGGAACATTATTGGAAACGGCCGGTAATGGCTTAAAATGTAATTATCGGCATCAGCCCGATATGAAAAATTATGCCGATATGCCTTGCCGAAAAGACAAATAACTCAAATGTGCTCAGGGTGTGTTAGCGCTAAGGTCACGTCAGCAGTGTGGTCATTCTTGAAGCTAAATTTTGCCTGAATAGTGATTAGATTCACTGTTTTGGATTGCCGTATTTAATCTGAGAATGTGCATACAGAATGACACATCTGGTGTGTAATAAGACACTTAGGGGGTATTGTTGGCCTGTTTGTAATAAAATGAAAGTAAAATACTCAAATAACATTAAGATTGTGTTTCTGATTAAATTAAGCAGTAACTGGTGTCATAACATCATGAGAATGTTTCATTAATGTGTAACATGTTTCGTTTTTGTTTTTTTCAAACAGATAATGAAAACTTAGATACAAGGAGCTCTAAAATAAATTTTTACAACTCTTGCTTTAGACCATCTACAAATGTTAAATCTTCAAATAAAATGTTAAGGTTACCACTGCATCTGTGTGGGGGAAAAAAATGCAGCGATTGATTTATAGTTGTTTCTATAAATAACTTCATTATTGTAAGTAATTCTAACAAGTTTAATTTAATTCTAACAAGTACGTTTTTGTTAAACTTAACAAAATTAAAAAAAAAAAAGTTTATAATCTCTGCACAGGAGAGACTCAGTGTTGTTTCCCAACAAAAATATATATATCGGCAAAAATTAGTTGAACAATACCGGCATATCGGATATCGGCAAAAATCAAATATCGTTGATCCCTGGTATAAAGTCAGTTACCCTGGTGTCCTAGCAGCATAACCTTAGTTGTAGTTCATCACGTTAAAGTCACTATGAAATCTGAACAGGTAGTTGTCTGCCAAGTCATGTGATCTAAAAGCCACACTGTACTGATAAGTCCAGTGTTAATCATGAGAGGTTTAGTTTACTCCGTTTACTCAAAGATTCACCAGGTGCAAGTTGTGAGGTGCGGCTCAGACATACTCTCTGTACTCGGTTACAAAGCTTTTAAAGCCATTGTTGGTTGTTTAAAAGATCTGATGGAGGAACTCATACCACATTTAGACTCATTCATTTAATCACATACTGTCAGTTGTGATAAAGCTTCCCGATGTTATGGACATTGCCATCTTTGATACGGTCACTACGGTTACCTGAGTATGGTTGTGACTTCAATTGTTCGTTCATACAGATTTGTATTAAAGCTGCTATTTTAATCTGCTTGGCAGTGACCGCTGCATTTGATTGTAGGTGTCTTCAAAGTTTTCTTCATTCAGCAGTGTTAAAGCAGCCATCATAGGCATTTGTATTACTGATAGATGCCTTTTAATTCTTGGGAATTTATGTATGTATTTATTAACATTTTTACTTGTAAAGTAAAATGGAATACATTTGAATAAAATGGTTGGTTGAAGATTATTGGTAGAAGTTACAGTTATTTTTTTGGTAAATTAACTAAGATTAATCCGATAATAATTGATAGATTAACTGGAAAATACTTTATTAAATTAGTCGACTAATCAAAATGATACCAACAACAATAATACTTTTTTTTTGGTTGTCTTTTCAGAAAAACCAAGCTGATGTTCTTTAACCGTCAAGAGAGGGACATACTTTGGTGCGCTCAGCTGGATGAACTTTGTTCAAAAGAGGAAAGGTATCATTTATCGCATTATATATCTGACTGTTCGTTCTATCAGGAATGTCACATCTTTGAATTACAGTACAGTGATCTCAGTGGGAATCCATGCAGTATTTAGTTAGTTAGCTAGTTAGTTAACTGCCTCACTGTCTACTGTGAAGTATTTATATAGTACTTTATACAATACAAATTGTTTCAAAGTAGCTTAAAGGCACAATATGTCATTTTTCGCCGCTAGAGGGCGCATATTCAAGACAAACAAAGAATCAAAGGCGTAGTTTGATGAATCATGGGAGTTGTGGTCTTCATCCCCACAGCCGGGCAGAAATCATGTTCATGGATGAGCTAATGATTTATTAGCGTGGTAGTATGAAGCGAAACGAGGCCGCTGAACGAGCACGACACATGGCTCGAAAGCTGCGGAGCTTTTAGTATGCCACAGTCGACCGCTTCCGGTCGTGCGTATGTGGGGGGGAAAAAAGCAGCGCTGTTTTATCATACTAGATACATTTGAAAGTTCTGTTATTATGCTACTCTGTGCGGTCGTCACCGGTCTGTTAAAACACACAACATCACAAGCGTCTTTAGTGTTTCCATGTTTTCTACAAAACAAAACCGGAAATCGAGGGTGCATGACGTCATTGGCAGGCGACACAATGTCACTATGGACACGCTCCGTGTCACTAGTTAAAATCGCTTATTTTTCATTTGGGATAATATAAGTACACAAGTCAGCAAAATATATAACACTGTTCTAGTGGTTTTTGGATATTGTAATAAACAAATCTTACATATTGTGCCTTTAACTGTAATGTTGCACAGTTCATCAATTTGAAAAAGAATTCCATTTCAACTGTAAAGCAACTCTACAAAAGTGTCATTATTCAACTCAATTCAGATTCAGTGTTGATTCAATTCAGACTGTCATTAGGCAGCATCCTAACGGTCATGTATCTTAGGTTTGAGGTGGAGTACGTTCTGTCGGAGCCTACAGACTCATGGAAAGGCAGAAGAGGGCGGATAGATGCTTGTATGCTGCAAAACTTCCTGGAGAGACCAGAAGACTCCAAATGTTTAGTGTGTGTGTGCGGCCCAACTGGATTCACAGAGTTGGCAGTGCAGTGAGTCATTGTTTTTAAGAGTGTATATAGCAAATTGAAATGGTCAGTAAGTCAGGATGCAAGAGACGGGTTACTTTACAAGTATAGCTATTGCTGTTTGGAAATGCTAATCTGACTGCCGAATTAATAAGGTTTCCCAGTGTGTGTACAGATACTATTCTAATATGCTAAATTATCTACCTAGAATGTAATTCCCTACAGAAATGTATATTTTGTGCCTCTAGTGCTGTTGTGTCTCAACTGAAATCTGTAAACGTGTATGACAGGCTTGATGTCAGTTTAGAAAAGTTTAATTGGGTAAAAAAAACCTATTATAGCAAAGCACTTTCTGTTATACCAGCAAACCATGTTGCTCTGGAAATGTATCTTCATGCATTGTTTATTGCATGATGCTTTGGATATTATGTGTTTGATACATTGCAGTCCAAATATTTATATGAAATCACCTACAGTCAGCCATTGAATACTATAGGCCTAAACGTGTAATTTTCTTTCAGGTATACCTTTTTTTGTTATATATATATATGTATTTTTTTCTTCATTCTATTTATTTTTATTTATTTATTTTCATTTAACTTTTTGATACACAATGCCCTGTTGGGGCAACTTAATGGCTGCACTTTGTTCTGCACTATGTCCCACGACTTTAAGACAAATGGATTTGTTGTTTGTTGTGTTTTCATATTCAAGAGATTATAAGCTAGATGCAACTTTTTGGGGATCGCATCGAATGTTTTTCAACGTTTATAGATAAGAAATGTGTTTATGAATAAAGATTGATCTGTTGAAAGCATTATTTCGAGTTAGATGCCAAATGTTCTCCTTCTATTCAAATTTGACATCGAAGGTGTGCACACAACGTATTTGCCCATCGGCAACACATTCAAATACGATAAAAAATAAAATAAAAAAAACCCTGTGGAAAATAAATGCAGAAATGTTCACATAGGACACTAATAACACGACTATATGTATGAAACCATTCAGAAAAAATTGGGCACCGATGGGTTAACAAACTAAGCAAGTTAGGATGTCTGTCTCGAAATAATGTTGTGGAATTAAGCTTTGTGAAACTGTGAGGTAATTGCTGATTGTTAGTTCATATGTTTATAGCACATTTGTAATGCAATTTTGTGTTTCACTCTGTTTTATGTTACCTTGTTACAGTGTAATTATTGACATCGAAGGTGTGCACACAACGTATTTGCCCATCGGCAACACATTCAAATACGATAAAAAATAAAATAAAAAAAAACCTGTGGAAAATAAATGCAGAAATGTTCACATAGGACACTAATAACACGACTATATGTATGAAACCATTCAGAAAAAATTGGGCACCGATGGGTTAACAAACTAAGCAAGTTAGGATGTCTGTCTCGAAATAATGTTGTGGAATTAAGTTTTGTGAAACTGTGAGGTAATTGCTGATTGTTAGTTCATATGTTTATAACACATTTGTAATGCAATTTTGTGTTTCACTCTGTTTTATGTTACCTTGTTACAGTGTAATTGTACAGTACTGAGTAATTTTAATTAACTACATGTATTTCATACAAGAGGTGAATGTATAACATGTGGCAAATATAAGATAAGCTTAAGTAAGAAGTAAACAAACATGTTCTCTTTTTACACCAAAAACATGCTGAATGTTGAAAAAAAATACAGGCAAAAAAGTAACATACAAAAGTAACAATGTTGTTGGTAAGCTTTTTTTTTTTTGTCTTATACCCCCACAGCCCCAGCAATAACAAACCAGAAATGTGCTCCTTTCAACCCATTACACTGGATATCATGTAGCATTAACTTTAATATTTTTATTTTTTAAATGCTGCATACATTTGCTACAGTTTCTCAATGCTAACGACACAAGAATGGATTTGTGACATTCTTTTCTAGGCACATTGAAAGAATGAACTTGGAAGGGCAGCACGACAAAATGTGTCTATGTGATTTCTTGAGACAAGTGTCACATAAAGACCAGGCAGTGATTTTGCCGATTGGCTCTCTTACTTGGAAAAGGTGGGACTTACTTTAATAGAGCTGCCATAATGGGAGTACCATTTTCTCCCATTCATTGTAATATCAGTGGTCTGTTTAACCTATATGCAGTCCCTGGCAATACTGCAGAAAGTTAATTATTTTATTTTATTTTTTGCTAATCACTTTGAAATATGTGCCCATAGTCCTCTAGAACTCTCTCTTCTAATTATATTCTTTATATATATATATATATATATATATATATATATATATATATATATATATATATACAGTGGGAAAAAAAAAAAACTTGCTACATGTACTGCATTAAGCTAACTGAGACTTGTTATAGCACTTGTGTGTCATTGCTCTTTTGTTGATTTTGATTGCTTCCATTGTCCTCATTTGTAAATCGCTTTGGATAAAAGCATCTGCTAAATGACTAAATGTAGATGTAATTTAAATGTAAAAACACATCTGTCATGTGAGCCAAATCAGTAAGGTTTGGGCCACATTCAGCTGTGGTTTGAATGTATTCTTTTATATGTTTCTATCTATACTCAAACTCAAAATGAGACACACACATCCTTGAAAAAGAAGCACATACACAATAGGAACTGGATGAATTTGAGTTTAGATATGATCAGTATCCCTGAGCTCTAAAGATCTGAGCATAGGAAATTCTTCGTAAAGTTCTTCATTCTCCTCACTTTCAGTAGAATTCTGAGGGAATGTAGTGAAGCGTTGTACTTTGGAAACACTGCAGCTTGGTGACACATTCTCATACGGTGGGGGGCTGCCAGGGTCATCTGCTCCTAACAGAGGTTGTGTGGACTCAGAGCGAACGTAGGCTGGCGGACAGGATGAATGGTTTTGATATGGACCACCGAAAACCACTGTGGCATAAGGGACAGAATCCCTGTCGTGCTCTGAATCGTGTCTGACAGAGGAATGACTCTCATCACAACTGTCGATGTCGTGTGACCACTGCTTCTCCTTGAAATAGTCACTCTTGAATGGCTCTTTCTCATCCAGATCAAGAAGACTGAAGTGGGACAGATACACCAACACGGGCTCCTTGTCTTCTTTAAAGGGAGGTATGCCCTTGGACATAATCATGTTGAGATATGAATTAATCAAGCATGTTTGATTGACTTTTAAAGCCATTTGATTATTAACTAATCGAAATCTATTTCAGATATTGATGAAAATAATAATCAGACCTGCATTGAATCAGTGGTGGTCCACCTCTTAATGCTGCTGTTGGCAGGATCAGGAATGATAGGCCACAAACACATTTTCACCCTATGAAAAACAGAGATAAATTTAATTATATTATTTTTTTTATAGTCTTAATACTCAAGAATGACAAGCCTGTGGATGCTCACCGTTCATGTTTCCCAATATAGGCAAACACAACAATGGCGAGAAGTGATAACCCAAGGCATGCTGGGATAACAAACAGCACCATTTCAATTCCATCTGAAAAAAAATTTCAGTCAAATCAGTCAAACCAATAATGAAAAGACGCGTGTCTGCATATTCATACTTTCCCTCCAGTAAAAGTCAAAATAATTTGTCTGGTGAACTGCATTCGCTGAGATTCTGGTGTACAACCAATGGAAACTTTGCTTTCCTATAACTGATTTTAAAATCAAAATACAAGATGTGGTATGTTAATGTATTCATATTACACTCATGCACGACTAAGCGTACTTTATCGGTTACTATGAAAAATCAGTGATAATGATTTTTAAGTTGTCATTGAAATGTTATTTGGCAATTACATATTACTATCATCTGTCTCGCATACACCTACATAGGTGTACGATAAAATGTGTACACTACCATTCAAAAGTTTGATGTCAGTAAGTTTTTAATGTTTTTGAAAGAAGTCTCATATGCTCACCAATGCTGCGGTCACGGTCTGCTGCTACGGTGTTGGAACGAGGAGATGAAGGAGCGAGGAGACATCGGAGAACATAGAAAACAGGATTTATTGACTCACATGTAGTACAGGAACCGACGGACGTTTAATACCAGACAAAGAACTCAAAACAGGAAACACTTTAAATGCACATCTTAAACAGGGGAAGACGAGACACACCTGGAATCAAATTAGAAACAATCAGGGAGCAGGAACAGGAAGATAACCAAATAAGGACAAACAGGAACATACACATGACATTAATCCCCCCTCCTGGAAGGGGGGAGGGGAGTGGGGGGCAGGGTACCCTGGAGGCTGGTGCAGGGCAGGAACAAGGTGGAGACAAGGAGGGCCTCCAGGGCGGATTAGGGAGCTCCGGAAGCCATGGCGGAGCAGGCAGTTCAGGTTGCCATGGAGGAGCGGGCACTTGAGGGCGCTCTGGAGGAGCTGACTCTGGAGGGCCCTCTGGAGGTGCAGGGCTGGCTAACTCGGGGGAATCAGGAGACGAAGGAGGGCTGGACGGGACCAGCAGAGACGAAGGAGACTCAGGGGACGATGGAGAGCTGGACGGGACCAGCAGAGACAAAGGAGAACTTTCTGGTGCAGATTCTGGGGTGAGGATAGGAGCCGTGAACTCTGGAAGTAGTGCCATGTCCAAGAGCGCGGAGTCAGCGGCGGCCGGTGGGCATGACGGCAAGGGCCCTCTGGAGGTGCAGGGCTGGCTAACTCGGGGGAATCAGGAGACGAAGGAGGGCTGGACGGGACCAGCAGAGACGAAGGAGACGAAGGGAACGATGGAGAGCTGGACGGGACCAGCAGAGACAAAGGAGAACTTTCTGGTGCAGATTCTGGGGTGAGGATAGGAGCCGTGAACTCTGGAAGTAGTGCCATGTCCAAGAGCGCGGCGGCCGGTGGGCATGACGGCAAGCTGGTTCTGGATCGGGGCCGGATGCTCTCCAGACACCGGAGGATCCCTTCCCTCCAGCTGAGTCCAGTGGTGTCTGGGAGGTTCACGAGGCGATGGTATTTAGCCTCGATCCAGAACAGCAATTTGAGCGTGGCGTCTTCTAACGCCATACTCGCGGCGATCCTGCAGAACTCCCACGCATACTGCACAAACGGGAGATCCAGGCAAGCTAGAGCGGCGAACCGAGCGGCAACTTCCAGAGCCGCGGGGAGAAACTGGGAAAACAAAAAACTTTCAAAAAACGAAAACAAAATTGGGAGAAGGGGCGCTGCTTACTATTTTGTTTGGGTCTGGTATTCTGTCACGGTCTGCTGCTACTGTGTAGGAACGAGGAGACGAAGGAGCGAGGAGACATCGGAGAACATAGAAAACAAGATTTATTGACTCGCACGTAGTACAGAAACCGACGGACATTTAATACCAGACAAAAAACTGGAAACACTTTAAATACACAACTTGATCAGGGGAAGACGAGACACACCTGGAATCAAATTAGAAACAATCAGGGAGCAGGAACAGGAAGATAACCAAATAAGGACAAACAGGAACATACATGTGACAGCTGCATTAATTTGATGGAAAACAGAGTAAAGCAGTGATGATATATATTTTATAAAAGAATACTCACACACACACACACACACACACATATATATATATGTATGTATGTATGTATGTGTGTATATATGTATGATCAGTATGATAATATAGAAATAAATATTCACCCATATGTCCAGTTGCCAGGGCCACAACTGATCCGTTTAAACTTCCGCCCCTCGTATGAACCGTCAAAAGGGCTTCATATTTGGTATGTGGTTGAAGATCTCTCACCACAACGCTGGTCTCCTCAGTCTTTATAACTTGAGACAGAATAGAAACATTATGGTTAAAAACCATTTGAAATCTTCCATTAAAAAATCTGTTATCAACTTTAAATGCTTAAATACCTTTGATATTGTTCATTTCATTCCAAAAGTAAACGGTATATCCTTGAATGATCCCATTTCTCTGTTCGAGGGGGATTTCATCCCAGTGTAGTTTGACATACGAATGTCTGATTTCCATAAAATGCAACACTGGGGCCACAGAGGGTGCTGCAACAATACATGAACATGTAAGTCTGAGCCCACTAGATGGAAGTATTGTATCATTATCCAGCTTTGCTTGATTTACATCAAGCCCTCAGATATCCACTGCTGATTTTCAAGCACTACTCACCTTTCTGACTGCTGTATGCCACTAAAGTGTGTGGAATTCCAATCCCTTTATCATATTTGGGATAAATAGACATCTCATAAGGTTTGTAAGGCTTTAACCCTGAAATTTGAAATAAAACAGCCATAATTAGATCTGCATGCACTTTGTGAACAACACATAAGACTATAAAACGTTAAGTACCAGATGACTTTAAAGTAATTTGCACTCTTAAAAATAAAGGTGCTTCAAAAGGTTCTTCAAGCGATGCCATAGAAGAACCATTTTTGGTTCCACATAGAACCATTCAGTCAAAGGTTCTTTAAAGAACCATCTCTTGCTTACCTTTTTATAATCTGAAGAACCTTCTTTCACCCCAAAGAACCATTTGTGAAACAGAAAGGTTCTTCAGATGTTAAAAGTTCTTTATAGAACCATTTAGACAAAAAGGTTCTTCTAAGGCATAATAAATGCACGGTGAGTGTAAGGCACTTCTTTCAAAAACGTCATTATTCCAAACCAGTAGCATATATAATTATTAATATTATTAATTACAAAAACACCTGTTACTATGGTACTGGAGTTGTTTTTGTCCATCAGAGTAAAGGACAAGAGAGCTGCCGGTGTCTCACACAGAGGTCTCCACTCAAGCACGTATCCTGTGACATTGAGGGACGCTGGTGTTCCCTCCCACACGATCAGCACAGACGTCTCTGACTGGGGATGAACACTGAAATTAGAGACAGAGCCCAGCCCTAAAACAACACAATAAGAAGTCATCAAACATCAGCATTTCTTTGGTAATACACTGTGAACAGAGCCTCCGTCTGATTTATCACACTTCCAGCAATCAAATACCTTTGTTCCGATACACTGGTACTTCGGTATGATCTGAGCTTGACACTGCGTTAGTGGCTCTCAGGAAAACCTTTTCAACCTTCTCGGTGAAATTGAAAAAGCAGTGGCTTTCTTGTGTAACACAAAAAGTATTTTTCGGTTCCTTTGATTCGACAGTGTAGAACAAATTCCAGCCATTGGCACGGAAATTTTCTAAAGGCTAAAATAAGATAACAGAGGTGAAAGGGAAAGTTACAGGTTTAACTCTCAAAGACCCAATCTATCTATCTATCTATCTATCTATTGACATTAAAATAAATATTAACGGAAACATTTCTCATTTTCATTTAGATGAACCAAAAAAATAAACTATATAGACATTTAATAAAACAAAAACACAAACAAAATAAATAAAACTGCATACAATTTATACTAAAATAACACTGTGGCGTGGTCTTGGCACAAGAAAGATCGGCAATAACTTCACAAAGATAAAATTAGTAAGCAAAGCTGATCACACTTTCATATCACACTATCTGTGACTGTTTTTTTGTTTTGTTTTTTGAGGGGGAGGGGTATTTATACTAATGCAGTGATACAAATATTACATATACATACAATATATGCAATCTTTACAAATATGAACATCACAGATATATCATTCAATAACTGCCAGGTCACATATGTGTAGGTGTGTATAATATAGTATTGCGCACGCACACACACACACACACACTCACTGTAAGCCTATAATATAGTATGTCAGGACTGTCAGAATGATTCTCACCTTCCAGTAGAGCTGTGCATTCTGATCATCCACTTTAAGCCATGTGTCCAGGCTGCCAGTCGGAGCTGATAAATGAAAAAGTAACAACTATTTAATATTTTTTGCACAGATAATTATGTTTTTTTTTTTTAAATAGAAGACTTCAGAAGTGGTGAAAGAAATATTGTTGGATAGGTTTCAAGACAAAACTTTTGCTGAAATACTTATTGTCTTCATGTCAGGACAATTCTGTGACTATTACTGTGTATGTGTATGTGTGTGTGTATATATGTGTGTGTGTGTGTGTGTGTATATATGTGTGTGTGTGTGTGCTTGTTTATGTGGTTTATGAGGACACAAATTTGTATAATAACATGGGTATGACATAGGTATTACAACGAGAAGGTGATTTATGAGGACATTTTGAGTGTCCCCGTAATTCAAAAAACATTTTTGTGACAAATGAGGACATAAATTTGTATAATGACAAAGGTATGACTTAGGTATTACAAGGAGAAGGTGACTTTTCAGGACATTACCCCATGTCCCCACTTTTCAAAACGCTTATAAATCACACAGAATGGAGTGTACTGAAAATCTGAAATAGCACAAAGTCTCCTGTGAGGGGTAGGTTTAGGGGTAGGGTTGGTGTAGGGCAATATAATGTACGGTCTGTACAGTATAAAAACCATTACGCCTATGGAGAGTCCCCACTTTTCACAAAAACAAATCTGTGTGTGTGTGTACTTGTTTATGCTACATTGTGGGGACCGACCTGTGGTCCCCATGAGAAAAAAAAAATAGTATATGATGTTTATCTGAAACTGTAACAATGCAAACAGGTTTTCTCTAAGGGGTAGGTTTAGGTTTAGGGCATAGAAAATATAGTTTGGGGAGTATAAAAGTAATAGAAAGTCCCCACAGTTCACAGAAACAAATGCGTGTGTGTCTGTGTGTATGAGAGTGTGTGTGTGTGTGTGGTTCAGAATGTCCCCATATACAGGTATATATGGGGACATTCTGAACCACACACACAGGCTCATACACACACATATATATATTTTTTTTTATTTTTATAGGTAGATATGGTAATGTCCCCATAAAACAAGGAAACCCAATATGTGTGTGTGTGTGTGTG